AAGACTCTAGCACCACAAGCTGTCCCCCGCAACTATCACTCAGTCAGCATCCTGCTAGCCGATGGACGCGTTTTCTCCGGTGGCGGTGGTCTCTGCTACGTCGCGCAGGGAGTTGGCCGCAGCTCCGCCAACTGCAACAAACTCGTCGACCATGCCGATGGCCAGATCTTTTCCCCACCGTATCTCTTCAACAACGACGGTACCCCCGCAACCCGACCAGTCATCAGCTCTTTGAGCGCGGAGAGCGTCAAGGTTGGAGGCAAACTGACCATCCAAGTTGAGACGTCTACACCAGGCCTCAAGTTCGCCTTGGTCCGCATCGGCAGCGTCACACACTCTGTCAACACCGATCAGCGCCGCGTGCCTTTGACCAACGTCAAGGGTGATGGATGCAGTTACACTGCTACACTACCCGACGACAGTGGCATTCTCATCCCAGGTGCCTACTACGTCTTTGTCATGTCGAAGGAGGGAGTTCCTAGCATCGCCCGGACTGTACAGATCGTACTCCCATGAGTTTACCGTGGCACGGGTAGACCCACATACTGGATGTCGCAACGCTCTTTACGCACCACTCGCTTTCATACGTCACCATCACATTAGCCTAACCCATAAGTCTTTCATTTCCCTACGTAGTTAGTATATAATGTATATTACAAGATAATGTATACTATGAGTACAGAGGATGAGCAATCAAAATATCATCCTCATGTTAAAAATTCTTCGTATAGATGAGTGATTTACCCGTCAAGTTTGCCTGACTTTGCACATCCCGGTAGTTGAGCCTCCCCCAAGGATCTAAACTTCATCGCATCTTTCGGCTAATATCCTGCAAGCAACCAGATTGTACTGAACGTATCACCCGTTACAGATGACACATGTGCTGTCAATATGGGAATTTGGATTCTAGTTGGGCTAGCTTATTAATCTTGGTGACACCATGCCGGCTGTTACCTAGGTAGTTGCCTGACACCGCTCACGAACTGTGTACGCCAGCTTTTCTCAGCTTCTCAACCCGCATACAATTACACCCGAACCAATTGTACGCTCTCAGCAAACCGTACTTCCTAGTTGTCACTAGACGCCCTAGCCCCGCTAACTGTCACTGTTCTTCGGACTCCGAGACCTGCTAGCGAACCTGACATCTACGACCGCGAAATGACACTGTGAGACATACACACTCAAGAGCTATTGCCTGCGAGGCCAAATGTGTTTACGATCAGTTTTAGATAGAGTGCTCGCGTTCCATGTGGAAGAGGGCTATACGAAATGTAGGAGGATGTGGCGCTCACGATGCGCGGAAGCAGAAAGGCGTCATGACATCGATCAGCACCAGCAGGGCTTTCACGATCGCAAGACTATCGACTTGAAACGTTCCCTATACACACGATGAGCGTTGCCAGCATCTCACACATGTCTCGAAGGACCTTGGCCGCTGGGGCTGGCACTAGAGACATGGTAAGCTACGCGTATATAGTACGTAGCCTCGACTTTGGCCAGGAGCACCTATCAAAGCGGTCTCAGAACGTCGTTACTTGAGTCCTCATATTGCAAGAGAGCCATCATGTACTTCTCTCCCCTCCTCTTCAGCCTCGGCGCTCTGGCAGCCACATTTACGGCCAATCCAGCACCCACACAACTTACAGAAGCACTGCCTGCACTAGATGCAGGAACAGCCGAGCTAGGCCGCGACGCACTATCCGGCAACCTGCCCAAAAACCTTGCCAAGATTTGGATCTTCAGCAACCTCAACTGCGATCAAAACAACGGTCCTGCTTGGAACATCTACGTACTGCCCGGCGAGGACAGATGCATTCCGTATCATAATGTTGGATCAATCTTCGCGTGGTACGAGTCTGACATTGGGTACGTCTTTTAGATTCTGCTTCAAAAGAGGTGAACTGACGTGTGGTCTCATTTTTATAGGCATTGCACGACTACGATTCATAGTGGTAGTAATTGCAGAGGCAGCAGTATGACACCGTATAATAAGATGTGCACTAGTGAGTTGTTCGCGTCGCTCAGCGTCTCGTGCCCTAAGGTGTAAGAGCATCGGTCGCATTACTCTCCCAAGTGCATCAAGAGGGGTGTGCCCTTCTGGGAAGATGCTGTAGAAGTGGTCGTTGCGATGAGGAGCAGGTCTCATCCAGGTGTTCTTCCGTTTCTTTACAAGTAAATCACTCAATAAGGCTCACTATTGTACCGAACAACTTGATTTGGCTTTACGGTACTATGCTAGCCGTGACCCATACCCATCAGTGGAAAAGTCTTCATCCACTGTTCGCAAACCACTGCGCGTGGTAGTCATCCATCCCCTTCATGAATCCTCCTAAGCATCTCAAACTGCTCTAGTGTGGGAACTTCCAGTCCTCGGGGCCCTCGGGGCCGGGCCAAAAGAACCCACCATCCTTGTCCCAAGGCTCGTCAAACTCGGAGGAAGAGTCATAGTCCGATACATGACGGCATCGGTAACAGCGGTCCACGGACTTGTCGAACGGGACTCCATCCCGGTATGCTGCTGCGCAATCGGCGCACACGGTGTTCCTGATCCTGTCCATGCAGACAGCGCACTGTGTCCTGAGGAACTCCGATGGCTTATCGGAGGACTTCTTGCAGGTCACTATGCAGCCATGCTGCTCCTTGACCGGGCGTTCGTGCCAGACGATCCTGTCTTTGCCGCTGTGAGCGACCGTGGAAGTGGCCAAGAGGGCCACGGCGGCGACGACGACGGAGAGGATGAGACGCATCTTTGGTAAGGGCCTAGAGGACTTAGTTAGTATTAGTAGGGAAGAGGACTAGGCAGGTAGTACGAGAGTGGTATCGTTTTGAAACTATTTTCCATTAGCCAGTTGTAATAGGTAAAGGGGAAGCTGTTCGTACATTTGCGTGGGGTTGTTCTTCCTAAGACTTGATTGACTTGTGTTGAGACTGGAAGTTACTGCTATATGGTGAGAGGAAAAGGACATGAGAGGAGGGATGTGAAGGCTTTTATATGAAGACGAGTCGAATAGAAATCGCTAGACCTTTGGTAAACTAACGAAATTTCTCTATCGCACTGTTGCAGAACCATGCCTATACATGGACAGAATTAGCATTACCGAGATCTCATAGGAGAACGAAAGCGATTTGCAAGTGGCCTCAGGTCACGAGGATCACCAGCCAATCGTGTGTATGGCGTCGCGAATTCCGGTGAGTTATTCAATGACCTCAAGACGTGAATCTGGTCGACCCAAGCAATAGGATAATGTGCTTCCCGTAGTTGACAATGGTTCATCGTATGCTGCGTATGTGTGAGGCTCTCATAAGAGACAACCGTTTTTTTTTTTCGTTCGTACCTTGGCTCAGGCATCTAGTACCAGAATTCATTGCTTTCGCGAGTGCTCCAATCTAAGGGTAAATTTTGGTATGGACGTAGTTTGGAATAGGTAGGCTTTGAGTGGTTCGTCGGTACCGGTTATCGCGGAACCAGTGAGCCTGGCACAGAACATTATCTGAAACGTACTCGCTGGATCATATACATTGATTCCTAGGGGCCAACAGACCGCTTATACTTGCATGGCGCGATTTAGTGATGAGATACGGCCTCGAGATATGAGCTTCATCGCATGCGCCATGCTCCTAGCTATGCACTATCCTGGCGTAACGTTCGCAGTTCCGTGGCAACCCAAAACGCGTACAGTACAGTCGGAATTCGACATGATGCACCGCTACTCATTCTATGTACCAGGCCAGGAAGAAAAGAGATATCGAGCATCCCCGTCGAGAGTTGGGCATCGTAGCCAAACCACCAAAGTCATGATGATGCCTACGCTGTCGTAACGCCTGACGCCGGGTATGAATTAGCAAGGTAAAACTCAGAGAGCGGAATGATGACGAAAGCGCTCTACGAAAGAGTGATGTCGCTACCTTCCCCATTCTGTTCCATCGTAGTATCGTCCCCATCGCCGCCTGCCAGGACCTTGGTCTGAGGCCGGTATCCGTCTGGTGGGCCTACACCAGGTGTGCACGCCGCGACATTGCCGTCCTCGTCGACGAACTCGAAGTTGTAGCGGGAGAGCAGATGAGGGATCGCCGAAAGTTGTGGTCCGTAGCGCGCGGTATTATCGTAGAGCTCGAATAAAGGAACGGCGAGGAGTTTCATGTTCTTCGGGACGCTAAGAACCTCTGCGACGTATTAGCAGTTGTACATATTGTGGGAAACAGGCGACTCGAGTCGACCTACTGCTACGGGGAAGCTGGATGAAGTACAGCTTCTTGCATTCCTTTGGCCTGGTGACATGCGCAGGGATGAAAGGGTACATGAAGGTCTCGAAGTTGGGCCGCCACCACTGCGCCAGCGTATCGCCAACTACCCACTCGTCGTTTACGCCTTCGCCTGTGAACTGTGTGCCCACTGGTGCGAGGCGCTCGTTCAGCCTCGCCTTGAAGCCCTCAATCTCGTCATCTTCGGCGCGGAGGTAATCGCCAGGTCTGCATGACGTCAGTGAGGGTGAAAGATGAAGGATGCGAACGCGTACAGCTTGAAGAAGGCGTTTGCGATCTGCAACATGAGGATGTGCGGGTGGTTGTGCTCATGGCAGACCAGGATGCCTTCGCAAGTCCGTCGCATGCCATGCTCCGAGTAGTGCTCTTCTAACCGCTTGAGCCGGGCAAGAACGGACGGATCCTCTTCGGGCTGGCCATCCTTGGTGCCAAATGTGTAGTTGCTTAGAGGGAACAAGCGGATGGTCTTTGGCTGGTTGCCGTTGAAGTCCTTGGGAATGACGGGGCTGCTTCAATTAGCTAATGCAGGAGACATGACTGGCCAGACGTACGGATATGAGCTCTGGGAAGCTTCCTTGACTATGGTGGACATGGTGGGCGCGGATGGGTCGTGTAAGCGGTGGGTTGCTTGTTGCGTCGCGACAATCGAGCAGTCGCGGCGAGCTTGCAGGGATTCAGGGACTCGCTAGCACGTGATGATGCGCGGACCTGGGGATGCCCCACGGCAGCTGCCACAGATGCACCACGCTGTCGTCATCACCGCAACTAAACTTCTCAAGAACTCATTGATTGCGCATGGGATCAGTATGGCACAGACAGCATTGATCACCGGTGGTAAATAGCCTCCACGAATGTGTTACTGCTAGCTGACCGCAGAGCGAAGCTAGTGGTCTGCTCGGCCAGCAAGTGCAGCGAGAGTTCTTGTTAGATGGCTGGAAGTCTCTCGGCACTGGTCTGCATCGCATCACTGCTCCAGATGTGGTGAAGCTGGACATTTTGGATCAGAATGAGATCGCCAGGGTGCTTGATGAAGTCAACCCGAAAGTCGTCGTCCACTGTGCTGCCAACCGCTTCCCTGACTCTTGCACCAATGACCCAGAAGCGGCCAGGAAATTGAACGTAGACGCGAGTCGAGCGCTGGCTGAAGCCACCATCTCTCGGGCAATTTTCCTCATATACATCTCAACAGACTACGTCTTTGCAGGAAGACCTGGAGAAGCTCCTTACAAGACAGATTCGACGCCGAGCCCACCTAATACGTAAGTCTGGGTTTATCACACTATAGTCGTCGCGGATTTTGGGTCGTTCATCCATGTCTTCGGAGTCTGCTCCAAGAACCACGCTATCTCAGGATAATGCTGGGCGAGGTGTCTGATCACAGCTGACACTCCATCAGGTATGGCCAAACCAAGCTGGAAGGCGAACAGGCCGTTCTTGAGGCTGCTGCCAAAACTGGCGCAAAGAACAAAGTCGTCATTCTTCGAGTACCGGTCCTCTACGGATCCTGCGATGAGCCCAAAGACAGTGCAGTCAATGTCCTCATGTCGCAATTGTGGAACGCCCAACAGATAGAGCATGGTCAACCCAAAATTCAAGTCGACGACTATGCGCTTCGATACCCTACCAATACTCAAGACGTTGGCCGAGTATGCCGCGACATAGCGAAGCTGTATCTTGATCCCGCGAACGCGTAAGCCAAACCCGCGTCTTCGATTGATGAGATGCTTCTCTGATACAGTGCTGACGGCCTGTTATAGGAAGCGCGAGCTACCCAAAGTCCTTCATTTCAGTTCGGAAGACCGCATGACTAAATGGCAGATCTGCCAAACATTCTCCGATATCATGGGGTTGCCGCTCGACAATATGGAGCCCTTCAAACCTGACGAAGAACCAAAAGATGGCACCATCAGGCCTTACGACTGCCATCTGGACACTAGCGCGCTACGGGACCTGGGTATCGATGTATCGACTGTTGACTTCCGCACATGGTGGTAAGTACTACTTGCTGTCGCTTTTCACCGCTCACAATTTTGCAGGAGGCGGGAAGTTGGGGCTTTCCGCTGAGGATTATCCCGGTTGACAACACACAAACGCCTATCGGTAGATCACCAGAAAAGCCTCCAAAACGTGATGACCTTGTGCTCCTGCTGCATAATGGTCAGGTGTCTCAATATTGCTAGTCGCAAAGCCAAGATTGCGACGCCGGTAGATCTCCGCGACGTGCCCCAAGTATAGCTATCCGTACCTGCGTTTTTACTGTTACAGAAAAGTCTGAACCCACTTACCGCACATCTCGGATATCGCATTGGATGTTCCAGCGCCGGCCCGCAATCGTCGCGTTCCGAGGTTGTGGTTCTTGCCCTAATCGGGCCTGCGGTCGCTAAATGATTGGATGGTAGCCATCTTTGCGGCGCAGTCTCGCGCCTTGAGTTTTGGGGGCGCTTATGCTCCACGATAATGCTGTTAAGTATCTGTCCTGTCAACGTGTAGAATGGCTGAATCTACTTCTATCGGGTTGTCTACAGAACTGATTTCCCTGTAATTGCCTCCTTCGCCCTGGATTGGCCGGTCTTTTCTTTGTACACACTACCATATGTTTCCTTTCAGCGCAAGCGCGCAGCCAGCCGCCACCTCGGAATCTATTGCTAGTCTCAAAAGACCTTGGACTTCGTTCATTACGCAACGGAAGCAATCCACAGGTATGTCGTACAAACATCATACTCTAATGGTAGAATCTAAACGCGTCAAGATTCCAATCGCTCATCATGGAAGCCAAGCGCGTTCCGTCCTGTTACTCTCATTGCCGCAACATTGATGGCATGGGCTATCATTGCAGTTCTGCACGTTTTGCTGGTTCGTAGCCAAAATGATGGCGGCATCATCTTTGCGACTACTATCGATGATATACCATTTGCACAATCCTTCGTTTACCGATATCTGCCAACGATTTTGGCCCTCGTCTTCAGCATTTTCTGGGGTTGGATTGACCTCCAGGTGAAGAGAGTTGAGCCTTACTATCAGCTTAGCCAACCTGATGGTGCTTGGGGCAAGGACAGCTTGCTGATCAGCTATCCGTTTGACTTCCTCCCCTTCGTACCCTTTAGCGCTCTCAAAAGCCGGTATGGTCTATCTTGTTCATTTGCAGAAAGCTGGAGAGCTAACATTCGTTAGCCATTGGGCTGTGTTTTGGGCTAGCATATGCGTAGTCTTTGTCACATGGGGCGTGGTCCCCCTTCAAGCCGGTATACTCGCCACAGAGACAATTACTCGTACATCCGACACTCAATTCGCACGGTCCGATGGCTTCATGCCCGCAAGCGAGCAGATCAATAACATCACCGGACGCTATATTCAATCTGCCCATGGTATTATATGGCTGAACGAGACGCTTCCGCAATACATGACCCGCGACTACGTCCTTGCACCCATTCAGCCGAAGGATATCGTTAGCGACTTGGCTTCAAACTTGACCTGGACAACTCCTACAACATTGTACAGTCTAGATTTGGAGTGTGAGACACCCACTATCAAAGTCAAGAACGAAACTCGTTACAGTGGGGACATCAACACTGGGATGGAGACTGTACAAACAGCGATGTACATGAGCAGTAGTGGCTGTAGCTTCCCGGCTGATTACTACAAGACATTCGGAAACGAGACCATGGGCCCAAATCCGGACTTCAATAACCAATCCGTGTACGATACGAAAGAATTCGCTTCCGTGTACATCGGCTATCACCGTACCGATTTCGCCGACTTTTATCTTGAAGGACTTTGCCCAGAAACATCCGATCGTACCTTCATGGTGCTGTTCACTCGAAATAAGAAGTCGATCAACGAGAAGCCGCAAAACGTAACCAGGCTTTATTGTACACCCTCATACTATCAACAAGAGGTCATGGCGAGCATTGATGCTCTTACGCGGCGTCCTATCAACATTACAGCCAAGGGAGACAAAGTGCCGCTTCCAGCCGACAAGTGGAACACAACCTTCTTTGGTTACCAGATGAACACGGGAAAGAGCGACGTAGAGAACCGTGATTCACTACCAATCAAGTACTGGCCCGACCAACTGGAAACAGTCTCCACCCTTCCTCTCAGTTTGGGATCGCAGGGCGCCATTCTCAGCGGCATGGCAGGGTTCTCCATCGGAACGTCCAATGGCTCACTGGAAGAGCTCCTGGACCCTGAAGCATTGAGACGCTCGTATGAAGCTGCTTATCGTATCATCTTTGCAAGATCTATGGTAGAAATCCTGGATCATGATTTCACCGTCGCGACTATGGTAAACGGTAGCACTGAGTATATGATTGCGGCTGTCGTTGTCGTTCCAGTGTTTACTTACATCGTAGAGGGTCTCTTAGGATTCATATCGATATGCAGCATCGCCCTTCTTGTCATATCTCTTCGTCGACAATGGAGCCTGCAATCCGACCCGGCAACGATCGCGAGTGTTATGGCGCTGGTCTCCGATAACCCATCGTTACTAGATGACTTCTCGAAGCTTGAATGCGCCAATATGGAAGACTTCCAAGCGCATTTGAAGGACAAGAAGTTCTCACTAGAGCATAGTGAGCGAGGTAATACGTAAGTAGATGCCCACCAATGGCTCTGGATTCTCACTGATCACTTTCGCAGTATTACCGAAGCAGACAGTTTCGACCCGCTGGGTATTAATGCTCATGGTGTTATTCGTACCGACTCGGAAGAGTCTCAGACCCTAATACCAGTACGGCCACGAGAGTTCCGTTCTTTCATGATACTACCCTTTGTTGGCCTACTGATAGCTCTTGCGATCGCTCTTGGCATTGTGTTATCGAAGAGCCAGCCTCACGGTAAGAACATGCCGCTGCAACGATGCAGCTCCGCTAATATGTCTCGAAGGTATCGCTAGACCATCGGATACGGTTGTTCGCCAACTTGTTACGAATTATATCCCTACTGCACTTGCGACATTGATCGAGCCTGTTTGGATCTTGATTAACCGCTTATTGTGCCTGCTACAACCTCTCGAGGAGCTCCGAGGCGGTAAAGCGACCGCACAAAAGTCGATCAACGCCGACTACAGCTCTCTACCACCACAGCTTGTCGTCTTCAAAGCACTTCGATCCTCTCACTTCAAACTTGCTGCAGTTTGTCTCATGGCTCTTCTTGCCAATGTTCTTGCAGTTGCTTTTTCCGGAGTTTTCGAAGAGCGTTCCGTTATGGTTCCTATGGAGATGTCGTTCGTGCCGCCCTACGAACACAAGTTCGTGTCGGTCAACGGAAGCGTGGGGCCGAACATGCCGAACCAAGAGCAAGTATCGTTGAGGCCTTCTGGCGCTTATACAGGAGGCTTAGGTTCGAACCAGTTCCTAGTTGCCGAGTCCAACTACACTGCAGGTACCCCACTTCCAGCATGGACCGACGATCAATTCATGTACATGCCATTTGTGGACGAAGAACATCCAAGCACCGAGCCGACCGACGAGCTTCGGGCTCGAACGGAGGCCATTGGAGCAAAGCTCCAGTGCCGACAGATCCAGGCCCGGGATTGGACAGCGAGCTGGTTCAGCGACGGCTTCGACAGGTCCACTTCAAACATCTCTGTGACGGTGGATGGCATCACTTGTGCAAGGAAAGGCATCAACACATCTCTGAACCCGTTTGTTGTCGAGGCCACACAATCCCAATGTCAGACTGGTAAAGTCGCCTTGGAATACGCAGGCATTCTTGAGGCGCGCCAAAACGCCACTTCAGCCGAGAAGAATTTCTGCGCTGAGCTGGCTGTGCTTGGATACATCCGGGACGCAGACATTTGTTCACGGAATACGACAACGAAGTTTGATGAGCAAGGCGCGGTCTTCTTCGGGTGCAACTCCAGACTCGTTGGGGGCGAGGCGAACGTGACGATCACGAAGGATGGGCGAGTACAAGATGTTTCGCAAGCAAATGTCACTTCGGACCTATCGCCAGCGTTCCTGGGCCGACACTTCAGTAACGATGCATCGAATCTTTTGCACCAAGGAAACGCCTATGTTCTAGCGAGATTTGCGATACCGAAGTGGCACAACCAATCATATGCTGGCGACTTCATGAACTACTTCATGATCAAGCAAGGTAACAGCAGCCGGTTGACGGATCCAAGCCAATCCTTGCCCTCACTAGATGAGGTGACACGGCACTTGTATCCCGTCTACAGCAAATTGTTCGCGATCTGGCTCGGCGTCAACAAAAGAAAGCTTCTAGTACCACGCGAGAAGGACACCGCTACTATTGTAGAAGGTCTAGCGAATGGCCGGCAAACTCGACTCTTTCTGTACATGCCGCTATTCGTCGTGGCCGAAATTATCCTGGGCGTCTATGTAGTCGTCGCGGTATGCATTTTCCTTTGGCGACCGGGCCGCTTCCTGCCGCGCATGCCGACTTCCATCGGTGCCATTATAGCGCTCTTCGCAGCGAGCCAGGCCGTGCTGGATATGCGTGGGACTAGTCTACTGTCCAGCAGGGAGCGGAGAAAGCATCTACAGAGCTTGGACAGAACGTACGGCTACGGGACATTCGTGGGCGCGGACGGGAAATTGCACGAGGGGATTGAGAAAGAACCGCTTGTGGATGCCGTGCCGCTCCGCGGTGTACTAGAAAAAGTACAGACTGGGTTTTCCTCGAAGAGCTCGATGTTCAAACGAGATCGGGATTGAGGGAACGTTGATGCCTGAGAGCCTTCGTAGTTGCTGTTTCGCGATGAACGCATTCTTTTTGATGAAGACTGTCCTCTTTGTGTACAAATCGTTAGTCTGCCTTCATTCTTGAGTTTCCAAGACCAAGAACATGTGATGGCAATGTTTGCGGGATTATCATCTCGCAGTTATCTGAGTGGTCGAATGGGGAAATGACGATGGTACATGCGATTGGCGAGTGTGAAAATGGGCTACATGAGTGATAGACAGACCGACTACCAAGATCATGGACGCTCGTGCCGTGGAGCCAGGAACGGAAATTGGAGCTGGATGTAGTAGATGTGGAGAACGGTGACGCGTAGGAACGTTTGTGCGCTCTATGAGATGGACAGCCGAGCTATTTGAGTTGCTTGGGTGCCAATCCGCACAGCACGAATGTGGGCATGAAAGAGTGCATTGGCGTTTGGGAAAATGCAAACGTAAAAAAGAATGCCGTTTGGATAATGTTTCGTGGGTAGCGAGGGTTCGTCGCCTGTCACATGCCATCACCAGCGAGGCCATCGAAGCTTTTGCCTCAAATCTTTCCCCGCAATCACCACAACTTACCTTTGAGATGGGAGAAGCGGGGCTGTCGTCGCACGTTTTCTGCAAGTCTCACTCGGAAAAGTTGCGTTCAAGTGATAGGCTCGAATGGTCTTGAATTCCTGGCACCAACCGCGCTGCTTCACTCGCGTTGGGCATCAGCAACAGTAAGCCAGGTAGGACGTAATGACGAGGGGGTTTACTATTGTTTTGTCTCGCGCTGTTGGCGTCACCAACTTGCAGCTGGTGGTAGACGGTCCAATGTCAGTAATCGACGGCGCATCCGAAACACGGCCTCGCTAGCCTTTTTCGATCCCCACTGATCAGCTTTCAGGAGGAAAGGGAGGCCCAGCGGTGTTGGCTCCTCGCCGCCCGTCTATCGTGTACGGGTAAGTGATTTGATGAAACAAGCTGCGGTTGGTAGACAGCCAATCAGTCGTTGGAGCGAGGAAGGCCTGAAGGCAACGACGCTTTCCCAACACGAGCTGATGTCGACGACAGGCTGGTAGCGAGGCCCACGGGTCGCTAGGTACCGCCGTGTCGTCACCTGCACGAGACCAGACGCCGCAGCCACACTCACCTTATGCCCGGATCCGCCGTACTTGCGACCTTCGTCGACACCGACGCTCCGACACCGAGAGCAACTCGCCCACGTTGTGGCGCAGCCAGCTGAACACGAGGCCACGACAGTTGCATTGGGTCGATCTCCCAGATTAGCAGCGTTCGCCGTCAGGAACCATGCATAGACCGAGGGCTGTTAATAATCAGGGTCTAATACTGTCGAGAGTAACAGAAGTGACGGCTAAAAGGTGGAGGCCCAGTAAAAGACCTCGCGCATGAGGGATACCCAGGGTGCGACGCATGAAGTTCGATGACATCGACGCGGCCGGTCGCCCACAAGGCCTGCAATCAAAGACCTCTTTGTCATTCTGGTCGGTCCGCTGCATAGCAGACTCCAGAACTTCAGTCTGGCGCTCGTGTCGCAAACACGGCGGTAAGTAACCTCTGCGTTACCTGCAAAGAGTCGCGATTGTGCAACCTGGTTTGTTGTCGGACAAGCCATGGGCGCACGCCCGGTGTGCGTCGAGATGAGCACGTCTGCCAATGGGAGGCTCCGCAGCGGCTTTCGCGAAGGATGCTGATCGTTTCAGCTTTAGCAGGCGATCGCCACTCCACACCATGGCTAGCTCTTCCCACTATGGAGTTATCGATAGGCTAGGATTCGGCATTCCCCTGCATAGTACACAGACCGTCGGCACAAACTTCAAACCTGACGTTGGCCCCCTGGCCATAGCCTCGCACCAATGCCTTCCCCTCTGAGTCGCTCTCCGCTTTTTTGTTTCAAGGACAATGCTCTTGTCATGACCACATGGCCAATAGTATCGGTATCGTGCCTGCCGAGAGCTCAGGACTTTGATGTTACACCACTTATCCTGCGCTCGTCCCCCTGCCGCTAAACCGGGAGGGGGACGCCAGCCGAAAGAAGCCCGTCAACCGTTGCAAGAGAAGCCTTGCTCCGTCGAATAGCCTATGCTTCTTCACGATGATCCGCCGGGCATAGGCTCCTGAGTCCTTGCACTGCTGTACGAGCCCGTCCCGACCGCCACAAGCTAGCCATGTGGGTAGACATGAGCCTCCGTATATAACTGATCTGTGTTTCGTCTGCTTTTCCTTCTCATCTCAAGCTATTCACAGCAGTACCAAACTCTTCTCTGTTTCTTTTGCTTTTGCATATCTTGCCTGTGGCAGATCACATTCTTTACCATTGCTGTGCGTCAACGAAGAGCTAGACTCAACAACACCTCGTCCGCCTATATCAAGTACCACTTGCTCTTCGACCTTCAAACCACCACAGCCATCACATTCATTTCATCGCTCAGCAGGTCTAGCGATATCCAAACGAGAATATCTACTTCTCACATCACTCTTTACAACATCAACATGTTTGCCCAAGCCAACCTCATCTTGGCACTCGCTGCCAGTGCCACCGCGCACATGATCATGGACTACCCTGTTCCATACGGAAAGGCTACTCTGAACAGCTCTCCCCTCGCTCCAGGCGACTACCCATGCAAGCAACGCTCTGGCATGTACGAAGTCACGGAGATGAACCAGTGGGACGCCGGCGAGACCAAGACCATCTCCTTCACAGGCTCTGCTGTTCACGGAGGTGGATCATGCCAATTCTCCATCACTACCGACCCCGAGCCATCCGAGAGCTCTCAGTGGAAGGTCATCCAGAGCGTCGTCGGTGGCTGCCCATCGAACGTCACTGGCAACATTGAGCCGGCTGACCCCAACGGTCACGGAGCCGCTACCTTCCCTGTGAAGATGCCCGAGAGCATCCCCGACGGTCAATACACCTTCGCCTGGACTTGGATCAACAAGATCGGTAACCGGGAATTCTACATGAACTGTGCTCCTGTCAAAGTCGGCAGCGGATCCGGTAGTGCGTCGACGAAGAGTGACGTGTCTGCGCTCTCCGCCCTTCCGGACATGTTCGTCGCCAACCTGCCCGATACATCTTGCAGCACCGCCGAGGGCGAGGACTTCAACTACCCCAACCCTGGTGAGAACATCATCGAGGGCAACGGCTCCTCTCTTGGAAACACCCTTACTGGTGCCGGATGCGATCAGATGACCAAGATGGGCGCTGGAAACGGACAGATGGGAACACCTTCCCAGCCTGAGGCTTCCCAACCCGCATCGAGCGAGGCGCCTGCCGCGACTTCCGGTTACGCCGCACTCCCATCCAACGGTGGTGGTGTTTTCGCCCCTGGTGCTTCTTCTGCTCCCGCTGCTGAGCCCACTCCTGCTGAGCCCACTGCCCCTGTCGCTACACCTACCCCCACCTATGTTGCTGAGCAGCCTAGCAGCGCTCCCGAGCAGCCAGCCTACAGCTCGCCTCCTCAAGTCCCCGACAACAGCACTCCCAGCGCACCCGCCAGCGGCAGTGACTGCACTCCCTGTGACAACGATGGCGCCGTTGTATGCATCGGATCCAACATGTTCGGTCTCTGCAACCGCGGATGCGCTGTTGCTCAGCCTCTCGCCAACGGCATGTCCTGCTCTGGTGGTGCTGTTGTCGCTTCCGTCAAGCGATCCGCCAAGTTTCCTCGCGCCCACCTCCACCGCCGCCACGGCTCGTCCCTCTTCATTTAAGAGTCTCGCAGACGTTCTTAGATATCCTCAACAGCCGTTGGCTACGAAATGCAATACCTGGAGTTTGGGAAACGGATCGGGGCACCCACGGATTGGGTCGTCATACAGGATGGGTTGGGTTTTGGGTCTTGGGTCTCTTGTTCATATACCTCTTCATGATGCGCGGATGCCGTTCGGTTCTGGCTCGTGACTGTTTTTGCGCTTTGCTGTTGTTACATTCATTCATGACCGGCTCTAGATTCAGCCGGCATGCCCTGTTATCTTCCTTGGAGAGAGTCGCTGTGATCTGCCTCGTGTCTACGAGCGCAACATACCCTGTACCTACTGTACAAAATCATACAAAACGCTTGTTCGTTCTATACTACTTTGATCATATGAATTTCGTGACGCTTGCTACCTTACTCCCGCTTTTGATCCTTTCTCCCACTGCAAATCTACCAACATAACAACATGGGAAAAGCATCCAGTTAATCAGTGTTTACATTTCCCAACCGTGTTATCCCCATGACTGTATATAACTCTGGCGATAACTACGAATGTAGCCAAGCAAAACCACGAGGCTATTCACCGGTTTATGACGTTCATGGGATGGCCGGCTCCTGATTGGGCAGCCTCTCAGGGAACAGCCAAGGGGACCAACTTCCCCTCTGATTCCCACTTTCAGCCCTAAGCTCCTGTCGCCAGCGCACACCCGAGCACGCGACGAGCCAAACGACAAATCCCCCTACGGCCAGTCGACTACTATTATTTCGTGCTGTCAGGCCCCAGAATTCTAACCGCGCCGAGGCCTTCGTTTCGCACGCCGCCGCCACTCAAGCTTAGGCGGTCATTGCGCTCGCCCCACTACTTCGCTGCCTTCACCTCCACCGTCTTCTTGTGCTCGCTCCCTAAGCCTTGCTGTTCAGACCGCCCACCATGGAGAATCAACCGCAGGATGTCGACCAGTCCAAGTACATTGACAATGCTATTCGCGCCGTCCGTGAGAAGAAGCCGCTCCCCGAGATTGACTTCACCCTGCATACTATGGAGGATGGAAACCAAGTGAGCACCCAGGAACGTGTGTGCAAAGGTATGCTCATTCTATACGTCGTGGCATGGCAATCCGCCAGCTTGTTCGCCTTTGCGCCGTTTTCGAGGCACACAGTCAGCTAACTGTGCCGTGTTCGCCAGACGTACAAGCACCCGCCTTCCACCCGCCCACCGACGAGCAATTCTTCTCCCCTCAAGATCGCACAAAGCCCAACATCCAATTTCTGAAGCAGCACTTCTACCGCGAA